GTCACAAGAGTCCTTAAATATAAGAAAATAAGCTCTTTATATTCTGAATAAAGTATTAATACCTAGAATAGAATTCAGAATGCAACATAGTATATTGTCTTGAAAATATGCAACATCCTAACAACAGCATACAGAAAACTTTTCAAGAATAAGAGTGGTTTATACAGATCTATGCCAACAGTATAATTCATCATCCAAAGATTTATAATTTGAAAAGTAACTGGATGCTATAAAGAGAAAGTCAAGTGACAGGACTTTGCAATAGACTAAATAATCCCGAACCAGCAGGAATCATATCAATTATTAGACTCAAACAAGAAAGATCAAAAATTGAGAACTGCTTAATTTATTGACCTGCAAATTATTAAGTCACTTAACAGATAAAGGCAACTTTACACTTCAAATAACCAGAATTGCTAAAGATATGGAAATAATATTTCATAGTTGGAAATGGCAAGATATCTTCGAATAGAAAAAGGGAAATATTAGAATTGAAAAATATCTTACATCAGAAGAATATAAAAAAACTATACCATTACTCAGAAACAATCAACTGATGTATCTGAACCAGCTGATTGATCAGGAAACTAAAAAAATTAAAGACTGGTGAATGCTTCAGCTCCTGTAAGATACAAGCAAAGGATCTATACCAAAATGGTTTCAAATTATAATCAAAAATCTCTCAGAAGAACAACTAAAGCAGCTCATAAGATCCTGGAGAAAAAATTATATAAATTGGAAAACAGAATACTCTAAAATAAAACCTAATCGAGACAAGCAGAAAAAATTATGAATAGTAATGAGAAGTAAAAGAAATTAAGTAACTTGGAAAAAATTAAGATAAGAAAAAAAGAGAAACATTATGATAGTAGAATATTTTGTCTGTTATAGTACTAATAATGACCCGGAAACTAATTTATAAAAATATCCAAGATGTTTGGAAGGTATAATACAAATAGTGACTGCATTATAGAAAAAGAAATAGGAGAAATATATACAGTACTATACTTCAATATGAGAAAGTTCACTAGAAGAACACAAGATTTAAAAATTCCCAATCCCAGATTAGCACTTGAAAAAAGGATTAAAGAAGTGATTTACAGAGACCAAAGCCTTTTCAAGATCTAAAACAATAGAATAAATCACGTGGACATTGAAACCTGGGAAGAATCTATTATTAAAGAAAATATTAAAGAAGGCATATATCAAGATTATCTGATAGCTATACTTCAACGTAATGTCGAATCTAAAGAAAGCTAATCTTCTATTCTGATGAATCACTTATTAATTATGGTAAAGAAGAAATGAAGATGGAAGCAACTTGGATTCAGATCGGTAAAGATGGAAAGAAAAGCAAGTTCCAAACAGGAGTAGACAAATGGCCCTCATTTACAAGAGTGTAATTGATAGCAATTATAACAATACTCTTAGTAGTTCTAATTAAAAGCACAATGGAAATCTTTACTGACAATCAGGCATATATTTCCAAATGGAAATCTTTAGAAAAAGAAGATTCAAGAAGGAAACACAAGAGATGGCTCAAAGAAAAAAACTAGTCTCTTTGGGCATGTATAGTAGAACTAATAAAGAAGAAAAATATAGATTTAAAGCTCATAAAAGTTAAAGCACACTTAAATGATTCTTATAATGAAGAAGCAGATACCTTAGCCAAAGAAGCTCTTAAATTTCCATTGATTGAATGGAAAGATCTCACCTCACACAAAATTATTATTGAAATCAAGTGGTAAGAAATGACTCTTGATGATTCAATTAGGCAGTTTATTAAGAACATTAATAATAAAACACTAGCCTATCAGTGGATATAACAAAACAGAACTGAGAAAAAATGGAATCAGCAGATTTCAGAACACCAGGCTCATATATGGGACCTAGTATAGAAAAGAGTTAAAGATGAACACATGTGGAATACATCTTTTAAACAATTCCAACAAAGAAGCTTTTTAATTAAACTGTTAATGACGAGCTACCTATACTAAGTAAGTTGGCTATAAGAAGACTGGACCTATATAAATAAGCAAGATATATTGCATATAGCCAACAAAACAAAACTATAGAACATTTGCTAAAATGCTCAGCCTATAAGAATCAACTAAATGAGGCATGGAATAAAGGAGTAAATAGAATCATCTGAGACTTTAAAGAGCTACTAGGGAAAAGAAAGAGAGAGGCTGAAGAGAAAAATCTTAGGTTAATTATCAATGACCAAGAAGAGATAGGAGAATTTGACAAGTGGATCTCTAAAGTAGTAGAACAGGCTTCTAAAACTAGTTAGGATATGTTAAGTTTTTGTATTGGCATTATAAGAGCAAATATTATCCTAAAAATAACAGACCTAAAATATTAAGGTAAATATATAGGAAGAATAGTAAAAAAATAAATAATAAAAATACAAAAAGGAGTCTGTAATCAAGTTCAAAAAGAAGTCTGAAACAAGAGATGCGAAAAGATAATTGAGTAGGAAAAAACACAAGGAATCAATAGAGAGAACAAAACAAAAAGACATCTATGTCTTTCAAGCCAGAAAAGTATACTCCTGAAGAAAAAAGTGTCACTACCTGAAGAAGGAAACCTCGAAGATGAAGGCTTTCAAGAAATTCTAACAAGAAAAGTAGAGTATTAAATAAAATGATTGGATTTTAGGCTCTGTCAGAAACTCATCGAGTGATCTGCAATAGTGACCTGCAAACAATGAAGTTAACAGTTGAAAGAGTTTTTACTTGAATTGTTAAGGAAGCGATAAATCACTTCTGAAGTTGCACTTAGAGTTTTAATAATTGTTTAAAATAGAGACGAGTGAGTTAGGTAAAGACTAGCTTTGGTGATATATTATCTAATATAAAGTATATATATGTTTAATAAAGCACACATATCTAGCTTGACAGAAGGTATTAAAAAAAAAAAAAAAAAAAAGAGATAAACTCATATTAATTGTTTACTTATTTATTATTTATTTTGATTGATATTTATAGATCTTTTATGGAGTAAACCTAATATTTGGTATTGTTATCTATTAATAGACCTAAAGCATATAAGAAATTTGTTTATACTAGAATATACTGTATATCACATAAATTGCTATATAGGTTAAAGTTTTTATTAAAATATGTTTGATTTATATTATATATTAATTATTTATTTTTACAATTTTGTTTTATTTTTATTTTTTAATTGTTATTCTTAAATTTATAATATTCTCTTAAACTCTTATAACTTTTTTTAACTGGTTTATCAGTTGAAATTATTTTTGTATAGAATTTTTTCTAATATCTAAAAAAAATATAAATTTATATTGACCTAGTTAAAAGCTTGAAGAGTTAATGTTAAGTCTTTTGATCTTATTGTAATCCAGATTTTATATCTTGTTTCATTTTAAAGTTTTTTTTTTACTAATCTGCAATTATATTATAATAACTTGTTTTTATTGAGAAATTAAAATAAAATCTATAATAATTTATAGACTTTCACAAAGTAATTAATTTACTATTATATACTTTAAGTTAAATTCTAAAGATAATATTATATTCTCTTGATATAATTAGATTAATTTCTATCTATTAAGATTATTGTTATTAGTTTGTCACTATTGATTAATCTAAAAACCAATGGATTACTAGTTAAAAGAAAAAGAAATACAGTATATAAATAAAGAAAAAGAAATAATGTAAGGCTTTATTAAAAAAGTCTAGAAATAAAACTATTATTTTTTCAAAAGATTTATCTATTTGAAATAGTCTTCTTGTTTTACTTAAATCTTAGAAGAAATCTTTTTTACCATTTGCAATATCAGATAGGTCAATTCAACTGATCTTTTATTTAAATTAGACATCCGACATTGTATATTCCAGCCACATGACCCATCTCAGTTCATCTTTTTCAACTCCTTCGCCGTAGTGATAGCAGTATCCAAGATTAAACGTCCCCTCTGCGTCACCCATCCCGACAGATTTTTGATAATATTCAAATGCCTCGTGTTCATCTTCTACTCCAATTCCAAAGAAATTGCAATCGCCGCCTAGACACACACCATCTTTATCACCCATCTCAGCAGATTTTTGATAATATTTAAATGCCTTATGTTCGTCTTTTTCAACACATCTACCAAAATGATAACAACTTACAAGGATATTTTGTGCAGCAGAATTTACTTCATTATTTAAGCACCAGCTAAGAATGTCTTCCAGTTTTTGTTGCTTTTTACTAAATATTGAAAAATTAAGTCAAGAATCAAATTGGTATTTTTTCCCTTTGACCTTTCTTCGACATACTAGTTACTATAACATATAGGTAGCACCTACAGTATATTATATTTTTAAATATGTATCAAATATTTCTTTTATTTTATATGATTTTTTGTCTCTTCGGTTACATACTGTAATAAAGCATATGGTTTTTTAAAAATTCAATAGATTAATATGCTTAAGTAATTAGAATTCTATTAATATTTATTTATTTATTTTAATAACTTCGTCGCCATTATCATTGGACAATCCGTCGAAGTATTAAAGTCAAATATCAAACCCAAGGTATTGGAAGTCATTCGATTTCAAATCATTATTTCTAAGTACATATCCCATTTTATACGGAAAGATGCGTCATAATATTATTTTTTTAAATAAAAGCCGTGCTATGTGCGTGTGTTTAAATATCTTTAAAAGACCGAAAGAATCGTCGAAATGTAACATTTCAGACAATATTATCAGCATACAAATTTTATAAAAATGTCATGCATGTTACGTTAATATTAACAATAAAGAAATAAAAAACTTATGGGAAGTTCCTAAATTTATGCGTAGGGTTTCTTTCAAATCTCTTTTACAATATTGATGTAGAATTTCAATGACTTAAAAAAATTTTTTTTCCATTCAAAAGAAAATTCCAATTACCATTGCAAATGCAATCGCATATTGAAGGTATTACGTAACTCAACAAAAATCTTTTTAGCATACTGTACATGAGACCGAAAAGTTAACCCACAAACTTCATTCACTCAATACAATTTTCTTCACCCAATCACCTCTGGGAACTAATCTGATATGATATTCCGCTGGCCACACGGTCAATTCAATTACAGCCTTGCTGAGATCAATTGGCATCGGTTGGTTATCTTTTCCTAGCGGTGAAACGTTTTCTATCTTGAATGCCCAAAGAAGACGAGAAAAGATGACAAATAATTCACATTCAGCCTACAAGCATTTCGATATTGTGATTTACTTGAATAGTAAGAAAATATGTATGTACACAGTATGTATATATAATATGAATGGGTAAGTACCAAATTAATTCCTACGCAAGTCCTTCTGCCCCCTCCAAAACTGAAATGATCTCTCTTCTCTTGTGGTCCGTTCGCAAGAGCGGCCGATGTCAAGTTTACGTTCAACCACCTCTTAGGATCAAACACGTAAGGATCCGAATGTCTTTTCGGGTCGAACGAAGTAGCGTGATTATTAATAATCACAAATGAGTTTTTAGGAATGTGATACCCCATGTATTCGTCATCTTGTTCGATATAATGTGGTACAGCGGCGAATACGGGCGGACAAAATCGTTGACCCTCGCGTATAATGGACCGTGTGTATGGAAGCATGCAGGAATCCGTGTAATTAGGAAGGCGCATGTGACCGATAACTTCGTCAAGTTCTTTATGAACATCTATCTGAATTTGTGGATTATTTGCAAGAACAGCAAGTAGCCAAGTAACACTGCCTGAAACGGTGTCCTTTTGCAAAATAATTGTCATTAATTTAACATATTAAGATAATATCACGTGAAATACTTACAGTTCCGGCTAAAACAAGATTACTCGAAAGATGAACGATATCAAGCTCATTCATGTTCTCTTCTTCCCGCTTTTCCCATAAGTCTCTGGCAAAACAAGATTTTTTACACTTATCACTTTTTATTTCGTCGAAAATACTTCCATAGACGGATTCAATTTCATCCCGAATTGCATACGCTTCCTATTGATATCAGAAATTACTATAATTTAAGAATTTGCTATTGAAGAATGGACCAAATAGACAAAGTAAAAAGCAGATTTTTTCAAAAATCAATTCCAAAGAACCTTCTTTTGACCGAGCATCGGATAATATTTGAGAATTGGAAAAAAGTCTGACAATCTATCGGTCATATTTACGAATTTTGCATTCCTCATTACCAAATTATCAATTCTTTTGAACAGGGGATCATCGATTCCAGTGATTTCCTTTCCAAACACAATGGTCAATATGATATTCATTGTCGTTCGTCGAAGGTAATGCCGCGGAAAAATTTCACTATGGTGAATATATAGAAGATCCTTCAACAATTCCAGAGTACACTTGTCAATAATTGGAAACAAAGAAACAACCTTATGAACAGAGAGAAGTTTCGCGACTAGATGCAAAAAAGAATTTATTATCATTATATACTGTATTTAACGTAAATCAGTACGTACAGTATTTGTAACTTACCTATGGCTCGGAGTTTTCGAAAGTTGTCATTATACGGGCTGCCTCCGAGTGATTTTCCTCGTGAAAGAGTTCTGTAGATTACCTCTGAATCGTGGCGGGACGAATAGATGGCTCCACCTATTTTTATCTTAAACTGTGTCAAGTCTTGAACATTATATTTATAATGCGGTATGCAACCGAGAGGCTTACGTTTTTGGATTAACTCTCCAATAACTTTATCCGAATTTAAAATCACCCAATTACTTTGACCAATCCTAATGCTATATATATCACTGCCCAATTCTTCTTTCCACCGGGTGAAACTATGTAATGCAAACGTGCTTCTTAATTTTATGTCCTTGGTAAAGGGGGTTTTTTTTTTTAATACTTACGTCTCGTGAGGTTTTGCACCAAGTTTTCCATAGTGACCTATAAGACAGGAAGCGAATAAATTTCATCGAATTTACGTGTGATTAGCACATTTGTATAATACAAACCCCAGAAAAACCTCGCGCCCGATGGAGTAGGAAGAGATCTTAATGATTTGTGTGTGTTCCAATATTTCCTTCTTAAAAGAAAATACATACAAACGATCGAGATTATTAAGATGATACCAGAAAACATTTTCAATGGAAACGTTAACAAGATCTTCAAACGTAAAAAAGGTGGGAAAATGGATTTATATGATGCGTACTCATAATGACTACATTCTCTAGGACGCATTTCTTTTAAATAATTGTTTTTTCCCGCGTATTCGGATTACGTAACAAACATGTGAACTATAATGATGGCGCATACAGTAGTCATCATGGCCAACTCTCCAAGCCCTTGATTGATATTATAAGAATGCTCAATATTATAAAGGTTTTGTTCTTTACGCAAAAATCAAAGAAAACGTGAGTATTTTTGAAATTCAACATTTGAAATATCATATCTTTACAAGTTCTATTAATGAACATTAAAAAGTTATTACAACTGTTTAAGTCAATAAAAATAAATAATTTCCTTTGTTGAAAAATTCGTGAAAGATCAGATCAAATTGCGAGTATCGAATCACTCACTTAATTAGAACAATAATCATACGATGTGATTCCATCATTATACAGTATAGTACAAAAAATGGTCCCTATTTTAGCCAATTTTGGATAATCTTTAAGAATATAATATAAGACTTATTTATTTAAATAAAAAGAGAGTAGTGAAAAATCTTTACTTAATATAATATTTATAACTTTAAATCAGAAATATGCTCATTTTAGTTAAGAATAGTTATTTACATAGAATAATTTATTGGCATTTCTTTTATTTCTTTAATATCTAAAATTATAATAAAGATCAAGATTAAAAAATTTTTTTTCTACTAATTTTATTTTTCAAAAAATAATTACTTTTTTTTTTTAATCTGCAACCATGCCATATGGCTTAATCTTTATTGAAAATTTAAATCATCTACAATATTATAGATTTTTCACATAATAACTAACTCATTATTGTATCAAAATACTTTAAATTAAGTCTAAGTAACAATATTTCACTCCTTTAAAGAATTGATATATATCTCTATTTACTAGAATTATTATCAACAGTTTGTATTATAGATTGTTTGTAAATTATAAATTGTTAGTTAAAAAGAAAAAAATAAATAAATAAATAAAGAAAATAATTCATGATTCTATTTAAAAGTTCAAAATAAAAGTAATTCTCTTTTCAATAGAAATTTACCTAATTAGAATAGTCTTTTTACTTCTTTTGAGCCTTGAAAGAAATCTTTTTTATTATTATTTATAGTATTAGATAAGGCAATCCAACTAGTTCTTTATTTAGGTAAGTGCTAAATTAAAATATTCCCAGAAAAATATAAAGAACTCAGCTTTTATTTATTAAAACTTTATTATGACTAAAGAATTTAAGTAAAAGATAGTAATTTACAATACATATTATTTATTTTTTGATTTTTGATATTATAGATATTTTTCTTAAAAAGCTAATTATTTTTTGTTTATATAAACAAAAAATAACTTAGATTAGATTGATATAATCTTAAGTGTATATTATGATTTAATTTTTAGGTCATATTCAAAGGTATCACATTTTTGTTTTAGGTTATATACTCAAGTATATTATAGTTTATATATTAAATACTATACAATATATATTATATAATTCTTTTCACTAATCAATTTTATCACCACTTTCAAAACAATTTTATCAAAAGTTTTATATTCCTATACTAATAAAGTTGCTATACTATTACTAAATATAAAAGGTATTTCCTATCTAATTTTATTTTTTTTTTCTTTGATTGACTTGAATATCAATTTCAAGTTAAAAATAAATGAGATAGAATCTAAACTCCTAACAGCAAGAAAAGATACTTAAGAAGAAGACTTTTGATTAAAGACTTTCTTTTACTTCTTTTTTAATAGAGCAGGCAAGTCTATAGAAAGAGTATTTACCAAAGGTTATATATATACAATAGTCTTATTCTCTAGAAAATTTATTAGAACCCAAGTTTCCTAAAGCATATAAACAAATTTTCAGTTTTTTTGAAGGAATTTTGCCTACTTCTCTCTAATCCTGAATTTTTGATTATATCAAATCTGTCAAAATTTCCTTGACTAGAGATTTTAAGCTGGATAGTATCAACGGTAACAAAAGATAAACAAAACATATATATATTTCTTTTCATACTACTCCCTTGCAAATAGGTATTACTTTCACTATAGTCATCAACTTAATTCTGTATAAATATTCTAAGGACTGTATATATTTAGGTCTATTTATTAAAATTGTATTCTTCAGTAAAAATTGAAAAAGAAAGAGTCCATTCAACTATGGTAAAGGTTATAATACTTCAATTATTTTTAATATTGAAGTTATCTATTCTTGGTAGTCAAGTAGAGTCTAGTAGCTTCTATAGATAAGTAAAGATTTGTTTTATTTTTATAAAAACAAACAAGATATTTTTGATCTATGGTTTGTGAAAGGACTACAAACTAAAAACCTATATTAAAACTTTTATCATGACCTTCTCTCAAATATAGCTATCTAGAATACTAGTAGTATTTATTAATCTTATTTTTAGTAAAAGTATTTGTTGAAAACTATTGTCAGATTGAAAAATTCATTAAAAACTTAACTTGACTTTGGAAAGGTTGTGTCTTTTTAAATAAGCAGCTTATACTTGAAGCTAATATTATTTTTAGAATTAAATTGTCAATCCCCTTACAGGTTTTAAGGCATCTTTCTAGTTATAGGTTCTACTTAATTTTTGAATAAATAGTTCTCTAGTCAGATTTTCAAATAAAATAATATCAATAAAGCTGATCTTTGAAATCTTCCTCCTTCTGTCTTAAAAAAGAAGATGTAAAAAGAGTTTTTTTTTCTTCTTTTCAAAGATAAAAAGATACAGTATTCTAGTAAATAATCTATAGGTATCAATTTTTTCTTTGATATTAGTCTTAGTGGATGGTTAATAATAAAGAAAATTTAGATTTTCATTTGATAGTACTCAGGTATTTTTTTTTATATTTTTTGCACTAGTTTAAAACTAATTTTCTTAATTTGAAGCAACAAAATATGATCTGATAAACTCTTAAATTTTAGGAATATTAATAATACTCTTAATAGTTATAATAATTTCAATATATTTTGAATTTTATTTTTTATGACTAATAAATATAGCTGAACTGGCAATTTAAAAAAAAAAAATACAATATATATTATATGAACAAAAATATTGTATATCTTTTTTTTTTTTTTTTTATTATAACCCGCTGTCAGGCTAGTTATGTGCGCTTTATTAAACAAAAGTAAACTATACAT